GAGCCCATGTCTTATTAAGGGGAGCCGAGCTCCCCCTAGCTCCCGCCTTCACGACATGGCGGTGGCGGCAACAACAATACTACAGCGAGGATAAAAGTTACGCCTTCTTTCTTTGCTTGAACATTTGGGCGGCGTTATGCAAATTTTCCCACATCGTGACGTAGACATGTGGGGTGTGTTAGAACGAGCCGTTTTAGGTAGGCGTGGCTGACTCTTAACTTTTATAAAGAATATCTCTTTGGATTTGAGACTTTAGTCTTTGCAACTTTACAGATCTTCTTTATGCACCAAGAGCTTGTAACACTCCAAAGAGAAAGGAAAAATTGAAATCGCATCATATGACCCCTTTAAGTTCTGGCCTATCGTATTTCCCCATGAATATTCAGTATTACTCAGAAAATTATACAAGTAAATGCTGTTTTATGTCAGTATTAAGGATGAAAACACTATTTTTATTATAATTTTTTTTTTTAATGATTATGGTTTATATTCATGTGTTTTTTGTTAAAGTTGGAAAATATTCAATAAATATATTGGAGAAAAAAAAAAAGGATGAGAACACACCACGGACTTGTTGCTCCAGGTTTAGGATCACGTTGACGGCCTGGTGCAGGATGAGCAGTTTGGTCTGGGGTTTATCGTTGCTCAGGTGCAGCTGGCACATGCGGCCCAACTCTTTAAAGCCCTCATTGATGTCACGCACACGCAGTCGCTCTCGTGCGTTGTTGGCCACTCGCCGCTCTTTCTCCCGCTCGACCTTTAACTCTGGCGGCAAATCCTCATCATCTTCATTGTCTTGACTGTGAAGAGACAATAATATAAATAACATTTCAATTCCATTTTTTCAAATTGTACAATGAAAACATTTTATTAAAATTTAAAAATGTAAATAACTTTTTTTTAATAAAATATCTTTAAAATGTAAGCTTTGTAGTCCAGGTGCCTGCTCAAGTATACTAGGTGTAAAGTTGTGTACATAAATTACTTATAAATATATAAATTACTATAAATATATAGTGTATATATATATATATATATATATATATATATGAAGAGTATGGTTCCAAAATCACAACAAACAAAATAGATGAGGAAAACTAGGAAGCCGGGTGTATTCAAAGCGCCGCCATTACTGTCTAGAGTGCGTGGAATGGTGCGCTGTGATTGGTTGAGCGGATATATCGCATTCTGCAGAGAAGGGAGACAAAGGGAGGAAGAAAAAAAGGGAGAAAACATGACAGTATAACTCGGCGGATATCGAATTTTGCGTAAAATTAAAAATGGACATTTCAATACTGACCAGATACAATACTGATTTTGGCGGAAACTCAATAATAAAAAAAAAAAGGCGTTTATCGCGTTTTGGAACCAAACTCTTCATATGTATAAATTAATATAAATTACTTATTATAAATCTCTTAAATACAGTACTAGTCAAAAGATTGGACACACCTGACAAATGTTTTTTCATGGTTAATGCATTTTGATTGAAACGGTTATGCATTAATGTGTGAAATTGCTTTAGTAGAGAAATATTTTGCATCTATATACACTACCGTTCAAAGGTTTGGGGTCCAGAATACATGCAAACTCCTTCAATATGGTTAAGCACCCCATAATTCGTATACTTCCTCCATTCATGTTATTTCATAGTTTTGCTGACTTCATTATCATTTTCACCATTTCTTGATGATGATATAGAATGACAATTTGGGTCCAAACCTTTTACTTGTAGTATAGAAATATCAGTAACCCATTTTAGATCAAGAGATGAATGTAAAAAATAATAAAAAATATATATAAATTTAGCTTCATATGCTGATTTTGCAGCCAACTGCGCATTGAAAAACAGACGATTCTAGTTTCACTCATGAAAATGTCCTATATAGGAGAGAGTCCCACCTGTGCCAAAATCATCTTAGTGTTTCAATGGCTTTTAAATCATTTTGTGCACAATAACACAAAGACATTTAACGTTTAAAAGCGATCAAGTGTGTATCCGGAGTCTTTGACAAACATGCACTCTATGGTGGGAGATAGACTTACTCTTCTCCCTGGTCTGATACACCTGAAAGGACTTGATGGGTAAACACCTCCTTTCTGAAAACAATGTAAGAGTTTGGGAAGGGGTATGGAGAACACTATAAAACATGGTATTTTGGGTGTTGTGGAAGCCCAAACACTTTGAAATCAGGCCTGGCCCAATGTGAAGACACATTTGAACAAACAGAAATTTATAGACCTTTGTTGGCAATCAAATTAAGACAATGCAGATTTGCTTCAAACCATCATGTGGTTGAGCATTTCTGGTTCAAAAATCATTCAGCCATTATTTAAGGGCAATGCTAAAAAAAAAAAAAAGCGATCTTGTACCTTGTTCTGGTGCGAGACGGTTTACTTTCCTTCTTCTCTTCCTCAGACTTATCGGCCACAGAGGAGTTCTCATCTTCCTCCTTGTCTTCCCTCTTGACGTCAGATTTGTTTGACGAATGCGTGGCGTGGGCCAAGCCTCCGGGCAAACCTGAAGCCAGAGACAGGAAATCGTTAAATGCATCCCGCTGAAACTCACACGCAACTCTCAGCGTTTGCATCTGTTGTTGACATGTTCGGATGGTTCAGAAAGAGAAATTGAAACTGCTGCTCACTGCTAAAACCCTCTGGTGCTCCCCCAGGCTGTGGGGTGCCTGAAGCATGAGCGGACTGCAACAGGGTGCTGCTGGGAGGAAGGCAGGCATGGTCATCATGATGGCTTCCAGTCTGCAGACAAGTGCAACAAGGGAGAGTAATTAGCACATATCAATACCCACAGGTGCATTACTATTGTTTTGTGTTACACAATACCACATACAGCTGTAAACTGGAGACATGCAATCAGTGTTTGTAAAGCTAATTTGAAACTATAGCTAGATGCAGTAGTTAAATTAAACTTAAAAAAGGTCTGAAAAACTAATAAAAAGTAAACATATATATATATATGAATTATTAAACTAAATAATATATTAAGACACTTTATTTCACGGAGTCCTTATTACACATTACATGTACTTACTATAATAATAATAATAATAATTTAGTGAACAGGGTACTAGTATTACTACTTTTATAAAGAATTACAGACAGCTAACCTTAAACCAAACCCTATAGTAAGTACATGTTGTCAATTAATATTACTTAGTACTTTGTGTAATTACAATGTAACTAGGACACATTCAAATAAAGTATAATGAAGTTAATATACAAGTGTACATTAACACTTATTTTTACACAATATTTGCTCATTTTACTAAAAATATGATGCATTGCTACTTGCATGATTATCAGCCAATAGCTATAACTATTGCCATCAAGCTGATAATCCAAATGAATCACTGAATCAGTTTTTTTAAAGAGAAAGGAAAACTTGAAATCGCATCATATGACCCCTTTAAATTAAATGAACCACCAAAATGAACCAATTTACTAAAAACATGATGCCTTGGATGGGATTTCGTGTTATCCATCTGTTTGGATCATACTACTAAGTGCCTGCACTAACCATGGCAGGGTGTCTGTTGCTCAGGGGCAGTCCTGGGTTGGAGTAGGCCTGAGGGAGACACCCCATAGATCCACTGGGTGTGGAGACGGCACCCAGTAGGCCGTGCACGTCAGCATGTGCTCCAGGAATTCCCGGGGCCTGACCCACCGCATGACTTCGCAGCACATGAATGGCCTCCTCCAGCCGGTCTTCCATTTTGTTCTGCTGTGGACAAAAAGAATTGATATTTACCTTAAAGTATACATAAGTATATAAATATATACCTTTAAGTTATTAACTTAAAGGTACAATATGTAAGTTTTCACCACTAGAGGGCGCGTATTCAAAACAAACAAAGAAACAAAGGCGTAGTTTGATGATGCCGTGACTGAGTGTGGAATCATGGGGGTTGTCGTCTTCCTCCCCACAGCCGATGCAATCCGACGGGACTCGGGCAGAAATCATGTTCATGGATGAACTAATCTATTAAAGATTTATTAACATCGTAGTATGAAG